AGAAGATGTAGAACAGAAGNCCGTGATAATACGAGCCCGTTGAGAAGTAGTGGAGAGGAGGAGCGGCTGGGTGGTGGGTGATTAGAGATAACTGTATGAAACGGGTGATTAAAGGGTCATTGAATTATATTAGACCCTAAAAACCTAAAATTAAATTAGACCCAAAAAGCTTAATTCCTATCTCCTAAGCTAGCAGGGGGTCATATACTACAAGGCAGAGGGTCGTGCTGCGACAAAGCAGGGTGGGCCCCGAGGGCACAAACAAAACCTTCCCGTGACAGCAGAACGTTGATTGACCTGTGTCTGGCCACGTGTGAGTAAACAAAGTGAAAACCGATGTTGTTGGAGTAGCAGCAGCGGCATCAAGAGCTAGTGGGTGTTATGGGAGAATGTGCGCACGTGGGGGCAGCTGCAAAAGCAGGGGACACACACACACACACACACACACGCGACGCGACGCGGCGGTTTCAATGTTAGTGAAACAAAAGGATAGAAAACGGATAGAAATAAATACATAAGGGGGCGATGGAGTACGGTAAAGGTACGGAAAGTGACGAGCTTTGCCGATGTGGAAATGATCTTCAAATGATCTGAGCTGCAATCATAGAGCTGCCGCCGTGGTGCTGTTGTGATGCGGTGATGTGTAGTAAGGGGCAACAAGGCGTGAGGGCATGTACGGGTATGCGCCATGGTGATGTACTGGCAAGCAGGGCTGTGTGTAACTTTGTGTATGTATGTATGTATGTATGTATGTGGGCTGACGGGGCTCGTGTCCTCTTACCAGCTCCACTATGGGGGAACGCTGCTACATGGGGGTCTTCTTTCAGTCACTATTGCCCCTTTGTCTGTCGCTACCTTTATCCGTCCGCCGCTGCCGCTGCTGCTGCTGCTGCTGCCGCTGCTGCCCCTCTTGCCGCTTTCTACGTTACGAACCACCGTCCGGGCCCGCTGCGGCCACCACCATGACATCGTGCCATCATTGTGCTGATAACATTAACGATGTGGTGCAATGCCATGTGGCGCAAAACACCCAACACAGGCGAAATAGCGAGCTTGAACGGCTTCAAGTCATTGGACGAATATATTCCGGAGGTACGGCATCAAAAGAGCACTACACTGCGCAACATCTGTACGGTGCCCATATTGTACGACGTAGTACACATCTATATGGTTGTGTTACACCTTGACCGTTGTGCCATGGTCGGCGAGGCGGCGTGATCGCAATGCGATTATCTGCTCTTTCCGGGAGCCCTTAGACACTTAGGTGTTCCGGACAAGTACGGACATGGTTTCGGAAACCCCTTCCGTACGGTGTACTGCCAACGGTGTACCGCCGGTGGCCCTGCTGCTGCTGGTAGGCCAAGGGTTGATCAATTACACCTAGCTCTGATTTTGTGCGCGGGCGTTCTGACTGCCGTCTTCTGATCTGGCTCTCCCCCTAACGCCCGACCGCAGGACGCCAGCCTGCAATGGAACGATATTTCGCGATTCTTCCGGGCCGCGTCGGCAATCTACGATGGGAAGGTACGGCGGCTGTAAGGCCCCCCTTTTCGGGGGTTGAGGAACCAACCATAGTCATTGGGCGCGAGGTTGCTGTACATGTCAATCTACGAACAACATCGCGTTTAGGAAGAGTTTCGAAGTTGCGAGGCCCTACAGGTAAGAAAATGTGTTACATAATTCACAATACACATAGATGGGTGCATCAAAACGGGTCCCGCCAGTTGAAGCAGCCGGACTCTGGCTGGCGCCCATACCCCCAATGACATAGTAGCAGTTACCCCGTGCAAATCCCAGAAGCCCCCAGCTGCAACAACCCCCCACCCCCACCCACCCTTGTGTATAAGATGGATCCGATTGTGAAGAGAAAGATGTCAAAGCTGACTTCGTGTTTGTCGCCTTGCTTTGTTCGCCTCGGCCTAGGTTGTGGCGATTCCGCTGGACGGTGATCTGATGCTTATGTACTACAGGTACGGCAGACGCAGGAGGAGACGTACGGCAGGCGCCGCGGGTTGTGCACAGACTCAGCAGATCTGACACGGCCTGATATTGGGGGGGTTATCTCTTCCTCCCCTTTTATTGGTCGTGTTGCTTCTTACATGTGTGTATGGATGGATGGATGGATGGATGGATAGAGTCCAGTGCGCACGTGCTTCCTCGCTCACATGTGCATGAGCGCTTTGTTGGTGCATTATTACTACACGTGCTATACCCCTTTGCGTGCTTTTTCCGTACTGTACCCACGCGCCTGTGTGCATTGAAACATAACTTCTCAGTCAATACACATTCACGGAGACGCAGGGGGGGCGGAAAAGATGGAGACGTAGGGTGGAGCACTACTGGACCTAAGCACTTTCCTTGGGACCCTTGCACCCTGTTGCCGACCCCCCTTGTGCCCCCCTTGCGGCCCCCTTGCGCCCTGCTACCCAACCCCCCTTTGTGTCCCCCCACACCCACACCCACACACACACACAATGACAAAGGCGTGACCTCTTCCTACGGTACAACCTGTCCGTACCCGTCACGTGGGACGATTTCGTACAACTGGCCGAGCAGATGAACGGCACAGATGTCGACGGCGACGGTGTGCCGGATTTGTACGGCGCGTGCTTCGATATACATTACACGATCTGCAAGGCCAACTTCATCATGATTGCAATGGCGGCGCCGTACATTCAGTACCGCGGTACGTCACAAGGCTTGTTCTTGGACCCGGACACGATGGATCCGCTGCTTGACAATGCCGCGATGGCCCACGTCCTGGAGCTGTACTTGCGGTTGTTTGCCGTACAACCGCCGACGCCGACATGCGCCGCCAGCAACGCCGCTTTCCGAAACCGTACCTGCCTCATGACTATCAACTGGGGTGAGTGAGGGTGGTGTTGCCGGAGAACGCGGCTTAACGGACGGAAGGGCGAGAGATGACTCGTGTCGTGGCGCTGCTTGGAAAGGATCTACCTGACCCACTTGTCACGATGTGAGACGCTGAGGTTTTAGGGTTGTGGGCGGCAGCGACACGCGCTCCCTTTCCTGACCTCTCCTTCCTCCCCACCCCGCAGGGCGGGTACCCGGGGTGGGATGTCGGCGGTGGGGGACCTCCTAATCGGAGTCCCGTTAGGACGTATGTGCATCTCTCCTCTTCTCCCCCCTCGCCTCTCTCATACAGACAGATAGACAGACAGACATATATGACAGACATATATGACAGACAGACAGACAGACAGACACGCACTACGCTACTCTCTGTTATCTACCGGGG